TTGGTCAAAAGAATTTCGTGTCTGACTAAGTTGTGGGGGGTACGTTGCCGTTGCCTTATTCCGACCTTCTTCACTTAAGGTTTAGTTTTTCTGTCCGTTGCCATCAACGCACTCTCATAGGTCTTGGACTCCTCCTTTTCCCCTCTCTCCTTCTGCCCACCATTGCTTCTTCATGTTTTTGGACATCAACGGAGACTTGAAATAAGCCACCAACCAAGGGTGCATTTTACACATTCTTTCGCTCCCATCTTTTCCTTACGTCACAAATGAGCTTTGTGGACATGCTTTTTTTACGAGCATCTCTCCACATTATTTTTAACCGAAAACATTTCTGCCTATATTCCTTTATTGTAATTTCTCACCAGTAAAAAAATATATTTGACGACTTTCCGTATGGTGTTAAACTACATTTGAGTTTAAATATATGCCTTTATATGGAATAAGCTGATTGAAAAGACCGTATTTTCGACCATCTCCTGTGCATGAACTGGGATATTACACGTTGACAAAGGGCAAATTAAGCAAAGCAAAGTATCATACTGTACAAGAGAATCACCTACAGGCAGATGCTGCATCTACTGAGAGCCAGATTCAAGAACGTATGGACTATTTTTCTTTAGTCCAGATAAAAGTATAAATCAACGCTGTTAAGGGTCTAAAGTGGCGTAGGTGTCATCATTTTCTTAAGGCAGTTCAAAGGTAGAAAACTTTAGATCAATTAATCTGTCGGTCTCTACTAGAGAAGATAAACGAGTAAACAGAAATTCCCCTAGGTAGGAAATTAGCCGGTCGCCAGAATGTCTCAGGACATTAAATGTAAGTGGGTAGGTTGACCACGTGCGATTTTGGACGTTTGTCATTGTGGTGATGTGGCTGAACCAATTTGTCAATGAATTTTCCGTCATTTGCTACTGTCAGAAGACTGAAACTACTGGATGAACAAAAACAAGTTCATTGTGTTTGCAAGTACTTGTATTCATGAAAATGTTTTTTAAGTACCTACTTGATATTTAACCTGTACGACGTACAGGTTATTAGTAGTAATGATCCGAAACGGCTCTGAAATGTTACTCCTGCTATAGAACTGTAACCTTGTTTTTTGAGCCGTGAAACGCAAGCTAGCTAAGCCAAAAAATGATACAGAACACACGCAAGCCTTTTCAGCTTCAGTATATATGACTTTAAAACGCGTAATTCAGTTGAATATCAACTGAAAATACTTATTGAAAAGATAAATGATCCGTTACGATCCCATATCACTAGATGGAGTCCTTTGTATCAGCGAACACGGTTCTGATATGTGCTTGCGAATGATTTTATCCATAAAGTATTTTTTTGGAATCTAAGGTATACGGTGGACCTTAATACACTTAAGGCCATTTTTGACTCATTGACCGTCATTTGGCAGTCATGCTTAAAAAGGTTTTAAAGTGGCTATTCTTAATGCATTTATGGCCTAAGAATATTCATTCAATCACCTATAAATCGTCCCTTTGGGTAATCTTCCACTTGAGGTAGGCAAAAAACTCCGCTTTATATCCTGAATGATAACATCTTAATAGCATAGAAGACAGTAAACGTACACATATAAACGAAGTTTAACGATATCGAATATGCAGCAGCAGATGGAATTCAAAATAAACGGAGACGTATTAAAATTTGTTCGCAACTAGTTTGCGGAGGTTCCCTTTTGTAGCGCCCGAAATTTTTTATTCACACTTATACGCCTACTCGATGCATACTAGTAGGCATACGTTTTATTTGCTCAGTGGCTTTGCAATTGAATCAGAGCAATATTCCTATTGATTTGGAAACCGAGTGGCTTGGCAAGGCTGCTAGAAAATTCTGTCCTACAGCACGGGATCGCGCAGTTTCAGGTTTTATCTTGGATTATCTCTCCCATTTTCCTACCAACACGATCCTAACCATCGATTCTATAGTAGTGTCGTACGCTTCGGCGTAACGTGAGACCATCTCACTTGTCATTGTTTACGTTAACGTAATCGCAATCAGCTTGTTGCCTAAGATACATCGCTCATGATCGCACGTAAATGCGTTTAATGCTCTAGCAGTTTAAGAGAGAGAAGACACCTTTGCGCACGTAAATATACAGCAACATGCACCATCTGTAGCATTGAGGTTCGAAAGAAAAAGAGAAGTGGTGCAGTGACCTGGCCAAGGGTCAGCGAGC